TTTTACACTTGTGATAGGAGACTTTAATGCAAGGCACCAGTTCTGGGAGCCATCCATTTCTTTGGGATCGGTGAATCCCACAGGTAGGGCCCTGTTCCAAACCCTCCTCGCATCTCGCCTTTCGTTGCTCACATCACCAGGTTTGGAGACTAGAGTGGATCCTTATACTGGGTGAGTTTTTACCCTAGACCTCATTCTTGGGTGTGGATATTTTACTACAGCTACTGTTACTGTAGGCCCCTTCATGGGGAGTGACCATCTTCCAATCCTTACTTCTACAAATGAAGCCTTAGCAGTGCCAGTGACGGCAGTTCGTTCATGGTGGAAAATCACCCAGTCTGGTTGGACAAACTATAATCGGGCCCTTGCTGATTACAGCCTGCCTCAGGACTTCTTGCTGGACGAGGCTGTCGCATCTCTGCAAGGGGCCATGCTTGAGGCGGGCTCGTGTTCATTCTGTCTCTCCGGGAGCTTCTCCCGTTCATGCCCCCAGGTTCCATGGTGGAATGATGAGTGCCTCCGAGCAGTGAAGGTGCGTCGGACAGCATGGGCACGGTGGCGGCGCCAACCCTCTCAGACTCAGCAGTTGGCTTACCGAAGGGCAGATGCTCTTTGTCAGCGAACCCTCCTCCAAGTGAAACGTGCATCCTGGGCTTTATTCTGTTCTCTTTCTTTTTGCACCTCTGCCAGTCAGGCATGGGGTTTCTTCCACTCCATGTTGGGATCACGTTCTGTATGTACTTTTCCCCTGCTGGGGGAAGGAGCGACTCCACTCTTACCCCAGGACAAGGCTGAGACAATTGCAAATTTTTTCGGTCCTATGTTTTCTCCTCCTCCTCCTCTACCCTCTAAGGTGATCAAATGGGGCCCTTTGCCACCTGCTGTACCCGAGGTTCACTGCCAGGTGCTGGCATCTCCCTTTAGCTCCCATGAACTGCAGCAGGCACTTTCCCAACTTTCTTCCTGCTCTTCTCCAGGGGAGGACAACTTATCCTATTCATTTATACTACATCTACCTCCCTCCTGTACAGAAGCTATGCTGGAGGTTTTCAATACCAGCTGGTATATAGGTGTCTTCCCTGATATGTGGAAACACTCTTTTCTGATTCCGATTCTAAAGCCGGGCAAGGATGATACCCAACTGAGCTCTTACCGGCCCATTGCTCTACTGCCCTGCTTGGGTAAGGTGCTGGAACGACTGGTGGCTACTCGTCTCTCTTGGTGGATTGAGGAACATGGCCTCCTGCCTGATAACCAGAGTGGCTTCCGAGAAGGTCGATCCACCCTCGACCCTTTGCTTCAATTTACACAGCTTGTGCACACTTCATTTGAATGCCGGGAGTTCCTTTTGGCTGCATTTTTGGACCTACGCAGAGCATTTGACTCTGCATCACACACAGCAATTGTTTTCAAGCTGGCCCACATGGGGCTGACAGGAGCTCCCCTCTGCTGGATGCGCAACTTTTTGCAAGGGAGGACCTTTCGTGTAGCAGTGGGTGGCGCTTTGTCCTCACCCTGTCCTGTATACCGGGGAGTGCCCCAGGGATTTGTTCTTAGCCCACTCCTTTTCTCTGTCTTATTGTCGGATCTCCCTTCCATCCAGGGAGTGCATACCCTGGTATATGCGGATGATGTGGCCCTTATGTGCAGCGCCCCAGCTTTACTGACAGCACAGGAAACACTTCAGGGTGCCCTGCAATGCACAACATCATGGGCCACCACCTGGGGTTTGGAGGTTAGTGACACTAAGTCCAAGCTCTTATGCTTTACTAGACGCTGACTCCCCACTCTTCCATCAGTCTCATTGAACCAGATGCCAATCCCTTTGGTCTCTTCTCATCATTGGTTGGGAGTCACCTTAGATGCACCATTCTTGACATGGAAGAAACACATAGCGGCCCTCCACCTCTCATGTGCACGTCGCATTGCACTTATGTGCCGGATCTCCGGCACCAAGTGGGGGGCGGATCGAGACCTTCTCTATAAGTTCTGTATAGCTATGGTTCGCAGCAAGCTCACTTATGTGAGTGAGGTGTATGGCTCGGCTTCTTCCTCCTCTCTTCATCGTTTAGACATTCTCCAGAATTCAGCCATCCGTAATATGCTGGGGGCATTCCCCTCCACCCCTATCGCAGCCTTGGAGGCAGAGTTGGGGATAGTCCCTCTCTCGTGGTGAGGACAGCGAGGAACTGTTTGTGACTCCATCATATGGCCTCTCTGCCTTGTACTCACCCCTGTCACCTCTCTTCACAGATGTGGGAGACAGCCTCTGTCCCCCCACGTTTGGCTCAGCCTTCCTTTGTAGCCAGGGCCCGGCGTTCCCTGTCCTGCCTTACTCTTCCTGCACTTGTGATGACGCCCTCCCCTCTCCACTCTCCGGCACCCCCCTGGCTGGACCTGACACGATACATTCACCTGGATTGGCACTACAGGAACAGGGAACCCCCTCAGTTAGTTGCATTTCTATTTGAAGAGTTTCGCTCTGTTACATATGGCTCTTCATTCTCCATCTACACGGATGGCTCGGCACGGTCCTCCCCCCCTTCTACATCATCTGCGGCCTTCTTCTCTAATCTCTCCCTGTGTCAAACGTGGCGGTTGGACCCTGCTCATTCTGTTCTGGCAGGGGAGCTCTTCGCCATTCACCAGGCTCTGGCTTTTGTCCTAGATCACATTCCCCCACAACCATTGGTCCTCTTCTCTGATTCCCAATCTTCCCTGGCACTTTTGTGCTCTGCCCGTCCACGATCACTGTGCGTCCTTGTTCGTCGGACACAATCTCTCCTCCTGCGCTTCTTGCAGAGCCCAGTTTGGAGCATCTCCCTTCAGTGGGTTCCCGCCCATGTTGGAATCTGGGGCAATGAAGTGGCAGATTGGGCGGCCTCCCTCACGCACACAGTTCCTACTGTTACCCCTCTTGCCCTGGGCCACAGTGATTTCACAAGGGCTGTTTGGAAGGGAATCCGTCATCAATGGCAAGAGGGCCTTGCACACTCCCTCTCTTCTTCGGTGTTGGGCTCTGTCCAAACTTTTAATGGCCCCTGCCCTTGGGCTCGCCATCCCAACCACTTGGTGGACGTTGCACTGATTCGCCTTCGAGTCAGGCACTTGCGACTGGTGGCTCATCTATATCACCTTCGGATGACGGACTCTCCATACTGCCCGTGGTGTCCCTCACAGCCTGAGACGGTGGAACACTTCCTGCTGTGGTGCCCATGTTATCACTCTGCACGGACTACTCTCCGTGCGGCCTTGCGCACACTTGGGGTGCACACTTTCACTCTACCTGTCCTCCTCAACGAGGAGGGGTTTCACCCTCTGGACCGTCAGGAGATATTGGCCTGCACGTGCTCCTTCCTGCTGGCTTCAGGGCATATCAGAGACATATGATACATAGTTATTAGTCAAGACATTCTTCCACTTTGGTCGATATTCCCTCTCCTAACACCGGACGGCCGGGCTCGATACGGCGTATGCTGTCAGTGGCCCTGAAACCAAGAAGAAGAAGAAGAAGAAGAAGAAGAAGAAGAAGCAGCAGCAGCAGCAGCAGCAGCAGCAGCAGCAGCAGCAGCAGCAGCAGCACGCAGCAGCAGCAGCCAGCGCAGCAGCAGCAGCAGGCAGCAGCAGCAGCAGCAGCAGCAGCAGCAGCAGCAGCAGCAGCAGCAGCAGCAGCAGCAGCAGCAGCAGCAGCAGCAGCAGCAGCAGCAGCAGCAGCAGCAGCAGCAGCAGCAGCAGCAGCAGCAGCAGCAGCAGCAGCAGCAGCAGCAGCAGCGCAGCAGCAGCACAGCAGCAGCAGCAGCAGCAGCAGCAGCCAGCAGCAGCAGCAGCAGCAGCAGCAGCAGCAGCAGCAGCAGCAGCAGCAGCAGCAGCAGCAGCAGCAGCAGCAGCAGCAGCAGCAGCAGCAGCAGCAGCAGCAGCAGCAGCAGCAGCAGCAGCAGCAGCAGCAGCAGCAGCAGCAGCGCAGCAGCAGCAGCAGCGCAGCAGCAGCAGCAGCAGCAGCAGACAGCAGCAGCAGCAGCAGCAGCAGCGCGGCAGCAGCAGCAGCAGCAGCAGCAGCAGCAGCAGCAGCAGCAGCGCAGCAGCAGCAGCAGCAGCAGCAGCAGCGCAGCAGCAGCAGCAGCAGCAGCAGCAGCAGCAGCAGCCAGCAGCAGCAGCAGCAGCAGCAGCAGCAGCAGCAGCCAGCAGCAGCAGCAGCAGCAGCAGCCAGCAGCAGCAGCAGCAGCAGCAGCAGCAGCAGCAGCAGCAGCAGCAGCAGCAGCAGCAGCAGCAGCAGCAGCAGCAGCAGCAGCAGGCAGCAGCAGCAGCAGCAGCAGCAGCAGCAGCAGCAGCAGCAGCAGCAGCAGCAGCAGCAGCAGCAGCAGCAGCAGCAGCAGCAGCAGCAGCAGCAGCAGCAGCAGCAGCAGCAGCAGTAGTAGCAGTATTATAAGGCTTAATTAGTTTAAAAGGGTCTGCATCAATTCAGAGAAACATTTCTGAGTGTTCTGTAAAATATACAAGCATATCAGAGCCAATGCAGTTCATGGAAGTGGGACTAGTGGGAATCCCAGCTGGTAACGAGAATATCAGTCTACCTGCATGAGGCTGTACAAACTTAATTCTTGTTTTAGCAAGTGGTTAGACAAACAAATAATTACAAAATCAGTTTGAGATGAAACAAACTTGTGGGTAAGGACCAAGATACTCTGCTTATCAAGTTATTGTCTTACTGCAAGATCTAACATTTTTTTTTTTAATACACCAGCTATCTCCCACTGAGGAAGGGTGACCCAAAAAAGAAGAGAGACTATGACCATCAATCAGTCTTGCCAGAGGTGTGCCAACATTGGCTGATGTGTCTAATAAATGACACTGAAGAATCCAGGTGGATACTTGAATTAATCTAAAAGAAATTTCCTAGATAATCTTTGCTACAGCGAACATGCTTTGTTATTCTGAGCAGGGAGTACTGTAGCTTTAACATGAATTTTGAGTACAACAGTGAGGACAAGAAAAGCATGCAATTTCTAAAGTGGAATTGGTTAACTTAAAGATAATTTTATTACATATACTGACTTCTTACATCTCCTTTAATATGGAATGCTCAAACATTTATATTTAAGAGCATACTTAATTACTAAATGTTGCACTGCTAAGAAATTAAGCAAAGTAAATACTGCATACATATTATTTAGATAAAATTATTTGTATTGTGTACATAATCCTAAAATATATTTTTAAGTACTGTATATATACTAAACCCTCAATATAATAGACTTTTAAAATTATGAGCAAAATCCACTGGGTAAACTACTTTTAACTTTATTTTCAATGTTCATTACAGTACTATGTCAGGTATGTAGTAGAGTACTCAAGTGCATTTTTTAACACACTGGCTGTCTTCCACCAAGGAAGGGTGATCCAATAAAGAAGAAACAAAAGTGTTTCATCTTCTTACATTTAGTAACTTTAGTGCATTTTACTGGTATTTTTTTTAACATTCTGATTTAATGGACATTTGAACACTTCCCCTATTAATCTGTTATATTGAGGGTCTATTGTATTGATACAATGGCCTCAAATGCATCAGGCCAATACAGAAGAGCTGGCATATTACACAACTTTAGCTACCTGTATGTGATAATGTATTGGTAGTTATGGGTGCAGAATGTTTAAAAAAGGTAGCAGGGGAAGGGGAAGAGGAAGAAAGCTCCTAGATGTTGCTGATAGGTTCTTGATCTAGAGAACTGGAGCGTCCTTCTTTATATCACATCTGATTATCTCCTATTTCCACAGGTGCTGTATGACCCCCAGATTTAGTACTTCAGTGAATATAATTAAATAATCAACTGGGTGATTTGAGGCTATAGCAGTCAAAGCAAAGAGGAGGCAAAAATTAGAATTTTGTCGTTATACAAATAAAATGGCATTGAATGAGTATGTCATACAGATTCCCATCCTGTTTTGCTAAATACTGCAGTATAGCCACCAGGTCATAAAAGATGCATGTAAAGGGAAAAGCAGGCATGGAGTTTAAATGCATAAAAATTCTGAATTGTTATGCTACTAGATAACATTGCTTATTGCTACCATTCTTCAAGATATAAAAAACACTAGATTTTTTCAACCTGGAGAAAGGATCACAGTGTAAACTTTTATAAGTATGCCCTTTAAACAAAGATTTCTTCCATGTTTTTTTTTTTTTTTTTTACCAGCCCTTCCTCTCAGCTATTGCTTGCTGCTGTGGGTTCATCTAATGCTTTTTCTCCGTTCATATTTTTCTTCCCTGCAACTTCAGCACTATCTTGTTTATCAAATGTAGTACTATCAAAATTATCTCCTGTCTTAGGTTCTGCTCCTGCATTGTCAAATACAATTTCATCTGGATCAGGTGCACGGGGTAAGAACTCCTCCTCTGGGAACATCATTAAAAATGCATTCTTGGCCTGTGGTAAAAACAAAATGGCAGTAAATTCAATGATCTGAAATATTTTTTTTTCAAACATGTCGGCCGTCTCCCACCAAGGCAGGGTGACCCCCCCCCCAAAAAAAAAAAAAAGAAACACTTTCACCATCATTCAAACATAATCACTGTCTTTGCAGAGGAGCAAAGATATGGCAGTTTAGATATCACTCCAAACAGCCAATATCCCAAACCCCTCCTTCAAAGTGTAGGTATTGTACTTCCCACTTCCAGGACTCAAGTCTGGCTAACCAGTTTCCCTGAATCACTCCACAAAATATAACCCTGCTCACACTCCAACAGCTTGTCAGGTCCCAAATACCATTTATCTCCATTCACTCCTAACAAACATGCTCATACATGCCTGCTGCATGTCCAACTCCCCTTACACACAAATATATTGTATCTCTGATATATATCACTAAAATATTATTATTTTTTCTTTTTTAACATATCGGTCATCTCCCACCGAGGCAGTGACCCAAAAAGAAAGAAAATCTGCAAAAAAAAAAAAAAAAAAAAAAATACAGTACTTTCACTGTCATTCAATATTTTCACCTCACTCATATATAATCACTGTCTTTGCAGAGGTGCTCAGATACGACAGTTTAGAAGTCCTTCCAAACTGCCAATATCCCAAACCCCTCCTTTAAAGTGCAGGCATTATACTTCCCATTTCCAGGAATCAAGTCCGGCTAACCGGTTTCCCTGAATCTCTTCACAAAATATTACCCTCCTCACACTCCAACAGCTCATCAGGTCACTAAAATATATCTCCAGTAATTACATATATGATTCACAAAATCATAATAACACAATTGCAGACAAATCATGGAATGGGTGGGATTTGAACCCATGGCCTGGAGTTTTATGACTCACTCACCATGGGTTCCAAGCCCACCCATTCCATGGTTTAATTACATATATGGTCATATCTTGGACTTATGAGGCCATGCATTACCAAAAAGGATTGTTTTGAAAAACCGTAAGTAGAGATCATTATAATACATAATGTACTGGATAATGTTCCTGGAGCTCCAGGTTCAAATCCAGATTTTTTTTAAACCATTTATCACAACATAAGAACATAAGAAAGAAGGAACACTGCAGCAGGCCTACTAACCCATGCAAAGCAGGTCCATGTTACCCTCCGGCTTAGCCCAATGACCCACCTAGTCAGGTTACTTCCACTTAAGGAAGGAGCACAGAATCAGACCTAGCAGCACAAGCTAGTCAGGTCCAACTCACACCTACCGACATCCACTCATGTATTTATCTAACCTATTTTGAAAACTACACAACATCTTAGCCTCTATAACTGTACTTGGGAGTTTGTTCTACTCATCCACAACTCTATTATCAAACCAGTGCTTTCCTATATCCTTCCTGAATCTGAATTTTTCTAACTTGAAACCATTGCTGCGAGTCCTGTCTTGGCTGGAAATTTTCAGCATGCTATTTATATCCCCTTTATTTATTCCTGTTTTCCATTTATACACCTCGATCATATCCCCCCTAATTCTACGCCTTTCGAGAGAGTGCAGATTCAGGGCCCTCAGTCTATCCTCATAGGGAAGATTTCTGATACATGGGATCAACTTTGTCATCCTCCTCTGTAAGTTTTCCAGTGCATTTATATCCATTCTGTAATACGGTGACCAGAACTGTGCAGCATAATCTAAATGAGGCCTAACCAAGGATATATAGAGTTGAAGAACAACTTGAGGACTTCTATTATTTATACTTCTAGATATGAAGCCAAGGATTCTGTTAGCTTTACTGTGAACACTAATGCACTGTTATCTTGGTTTTAGATTACTGCTACAGAACTCCTAAATCCTTTTTGCAATCCGTAATATTAAGATCTACATTATTTAGTTTATAAGTGGCATAGTTATTTTCCTGTCCAACATTTAGAACTTTGCATTTGTCTATATTAAACTGCATCTGCTACTTCTCCGACCATTGCATCAGTCTATTTAAATCATCCTGGAGTGCTCTAGTGTCCTTATTAGAATGAACTGGATAGCCTATTTTGGTGTCATCAGCAAATTTGCTTATGTTGCTATTTATTCCCTCATCTATGTCGTTTATGTAAACTGTGAACAACAACGGGCCCAACACTGACCCCTGCGGAACACTGCTTGTGCAGTGCCCTCATTCTAATTTCTCCCTATTTACGCAAACTCTCTGCTGCCTATTTGTCAACCATGCCTCTACCCAGGAAAAAATTTCTCCTATTCAGTGTGCCTTAAGTTTCCTCAATAGCCTCTGATGTGGAACTCTATCAAAAGCCTTACTGAAGTCCATATACAAAATATCGTATTCATTACCATGATCTACCTCCTTGGTTTCTGAGCATTCCGGAAATCGAGTAATTCAGATTTAGAGCACCTTTTTCACTGACATTTTGTCCCAGATTTCGAGCATCCGCTCGGAAATCAAGCGTTTGAGACACATTCACCCCATCGGCGATGCCACTTCCTCACATGTATCACACTTACTCTGCATCTGTCTCTCACTGAGTAAGGAATACTCTGCACATTCATCCAATCATTTTGGTGCTTGTTTATTGATTGTGACAGTGAAATAAGCCACCATGGGGCCAAAGAAAGTTCAGAGTGCCAGCCCTTCGGTAAAGAAAGTGAGAAACATGAGGGGGATTCCCCTTCCAAACAATAAATCCTCCCTCTCTCCTCTTCCCCGTCTTCCATACGCCAACAAGTCTTCAATACAGGTGTATAATGTTTATACTATTTATTTATATTTATTTATAATTGTTTTGTGTATGTAAAACTATAGTTAATCTTTAAAAAATAAATTTTTTGTGAATATTTTTGAGTGGCTGGAATGGATTAATTGGATTTACATTACAGTGAACCCCTGCATTTCGGCACCCATGACTTTTGTGAAATCTGACTTTCAACAACTTTTTTCAGCAAAATATAGTGCAGCGGTTTGTGATTGGCCTAATGATTCGTCTGTCATATGGGACGCGTCAATGCAGCCAGGAGCAGCGAGGCGTACACAAAGGCTCCCACACAACATTTAGAGAGTCAGTGTGACATGAATTGTGGGCAAGTGACCATCACCCCACGAGTTCATACGATATATTTCATAATAATCCATTGTTTTTTTGTGCTTGCAACTGCTAAATAAGCCACCATGGGCTCAAAGAAAGCTCCTAGTGCCAGTCCTTTGGTAAAGAAGGAAAGAAACACAATAGAATTCAAGAAAAAACTCGAAGCAAAGTACCAAAGTGGACGAGGAAGAGAGAGGGGAGAATGTGACCTGAATTTTTCCAGTGATTCAGTGATTTTTCCAGTGATTCAGTGATTCTAAGATACGTACGATACTAAAGCAGCAGGTATCGATAAAGGCTATAGCTTCAGCCAGTGATAATGTGTAGCATTAACGGTGTAGCAAGTAAGTTAAGTGATAGAAAAAATGACATGACAGTAACTCTTCAGTGTTGATGGAGGTGTATAGGGCCACTGAACATATGCCACCCTGCTATCTTCTACTACCCTAAACCTCTGCCAGCATCTCCTCCATCAAACTAATTAAACAAACATCTCCTCCAAGGTAAGTGTGAATATTTCTTATTTATAAATTAGTGTAAATGTTTCTTATTTATAAATTAAAGTGTAAATATTTCTTATTTATAAATGATGTACATTGTTTCAGTGTGAATAGTGGTGGTGGCTTCTGCTGCTGCTTCCACTACCACTAATATGTACGGCTTCTCTCAGTGGCCCTTATAAACCCAACACCACCACCACTTACTCCTCACATACATTGACATATTTTATTAATTCTAGAGTATATATCATGTTTTTATGTTATTATTATTGTTTATTATGTAATATTAGATGAATTGTGATAGATAAAGAAGCCATAGAGATGGTATTAGCATCATATTGAAGCATAATAAACTCGCCTCCTACCTGTTTGCCATATACCAATGAGTGCTCAATAAAGGTAAGTGTGATGTTAAATGTTCATTTATCCATTTTATTAGTGCTTTATATTTATTTGTCGTAGGTAGTAGGTTGGTAGACAGCAACCACCCAGGGAAGTACTACCATCCTGCCAAGTGAGTGTGAAATGAAAGCCTGTAATTGTTTTACATGATGGTAGGATTGCTGGTGTCTTTTGTCTGTCTCATAAACACGCAAGATTTCAGGTATGTCTTGCTACTTCTACTTGCACTTAGGCCACACTACACATACATGTACAAGCATATATATACACACCCCTCTGGGTTTTCTTCTATTTTCTTTCTAGTTCTTGTTCTTGTTTATTTCCTCTTATTTCCATGGGGAAGTGGAACAAAATTCTTCCTCCGTAAGCCATGCGTGTCGTAAGAGGCAACTAAAATGCCGGGAGCAAGGGGCTAGTAACCCCTTCTCCTGCATATATTACTAAATGTAAAAGGAGAAACTTTCGTTTTTTTCCTTTTGGGCCACCCCGCCTTGGTGGGATACGGCCGGTGTGTTGAAAGAAAGAAGATTGAAGCATAATAAACTCGCCTCCTTCTCGCCTCCTACCTGTCTGCCATATACCAATGAGTCTTCAATAAAGGTAAGTGTGATGTTAAATGTTCATTTATCCATTTTATTAGTGCTTTATATTTATTTGTCGTAGGTAGTAGGTTGGTAGACAGCAATCACCCAGGGAGGTACTACTGTCCTGCCAAGTGAGTGTAAAATGAAATGAGGGTAGGATTGCTGGTGTCTTTTTTTTTGTCTCATAAACATGCAAGATTTCACGTACATCTTGTTACTTCTACTTACACTTAGGTCATGCTACACATACATGTACAAGCATATACACCTACCATCCGACTTACGACCGAGTTTGGTTCCGAGAAACCGGTCGTAAGTTGAACTTTACTACTGAATATCAACAAAACATTTCTGTAAGAACTTTATTTTATTGTTTTATTTTGGTATTTCATGTTTTACTTTACTTTTTATGTTGTTAGTACTGTATTTTATACTGTAAGGTTTAGGCTAAACACTGTGTACAACACAAATAGTTGTTTATTTCCCAGAAATTTGGCATAAAAAACACGGTCGTAAGTCGAGTGGTCGTAAGTCGAGCAGGTCGTAAGTCGGATGGTAGGTGTATATATATACATACCCCTCTGGGTTTTCTTCTATTTTCTTTCTAGTTCTTGTTTATTTCCTCTTATCTCCATGGGGAAGTGGAACAGAATTCTTCCTCCGTAAGCCATGCGTGTCGTAAGAGGTGACTAAAATGCCGAGAGCAAGGGGCTAGTAACCCCTTCTCCTGTATATATTACTAAATAAAAGGAGAAACTTTCGTTTTTCCTTTTGGGCCACCCCACCTCAGTGGGATACGGCTGGTACGTTGAAAGAAAGAAAGAAAGAAAGATTTATTTGTCATTGTTTTCTGTATGTAAATCTATATTTAATCTTCAAAAAAAATATTTTTTGTTAACACTTTTGGGTGTCTGAAATGGATTAATTGTACTGTATTTCCATTATTTCTCATGGGGAAAATGATTTTGCCATTCAGGAATTTCGACTTTCAGCAGACTCTCTGGAACGGATTAATCACAAAAAACGAGGGTCCACTGTATTTCTTATGGGAAATATTAATTCGGTTTTCAAGCATTTCAGATGTAGAGCAACCTTCTGGAATGGATTAAGCTCGATAACCAAGGGTCCACTGTATTATAAAATCATTAATTTAATAAGCATTTTACTATGGACCATTAAGACTTATGACTCAAGTCACCAGATCATTTACAAAGTTTATAAACAATTAAATTAACATTTTATCATAATTAATATCACTACATGTATAACAGAACACTTACCTTAAATTTTTCATATGCTTATTTAGTGACATGGTATTCTGAATAGGGTTGGCATTAAAATTACTGCAGGACTTGGTGCATCTGGTACCTACTGGATTACTTAGAACTGTTAATTAATGTTGAAAATAGTAAACCTCAGTCTAAGTCCAAAAATTCAAAGCATAGGGAGACATCTGAAACAAATTTCAAATAGTAACATTGCCTCTTTGAACCACATTCACACTGCCTTGGCTTTTCAACTGAACAAAGCTGTCTAAAACTTTAGTTTACCTACCTGGTCAATAGCAGAGTCATAGTCAAGCTCAGCATCTGGTCCACAACAGAGGTGTACATTGGTTGGGGCACCACTCAATAAATCACAACCAGATAAATCAGCCTGGGAAGAAAATTATGTAAGCATATATTACAACCATTTCTTAACCCTTAAACGGTCCAAACAGATCGACGTTCAAATTCGTAGTGCTACAAAAGTAGATCTACTTTTTTTTACAATTTTTAAAATATAAAAAAAAAAGTAGATAAAAGTTTTTTTACACATTTTCAAATGTAAAACAAAAAAGAAGATCTACATATTTTTTTTACATACTTTCAGATGTTGAAAAAACGTATATATACGTTTGGACCATTTAAGGGTTAATATAATCCTCTCAGGAGTGGAAAATTTTAAAGATTATTAGAGAATATAGAATTACTAAAGTACTGTCTCTCCTCCAGATTCAGTGGAAAAATACAAAACTCTGAATTCTTTTTCATGGATATTCTGACTTGGATGACAAATAAAAAAATGAAACTAAATAAGGGTAAGAAAAGAGATTTTGACTGATGGAGGAAACTTCAGGAAAGTACAGACTGGAGATTATTATGCTTTAATTGTAGTACTATCAGTATGCATCCTATGGGGTCTGTGATTGATTGCAGTGTCTACCTGGAGTCTTCACTGTCATGTGTTGGGCACATCAACCAAATTGTTGAATCTGGCAATTTTCACATTCAGTCTCTATGCACTCATAAATATCTTGATAAGTGGAGTATCATGGGTCTTATCCATGCATTTGTTTCCTCCTGAACTGATTTTTGTAACTGTTTGTTTGTGGGGTTTGCCTAAATACTTGCTGAAAAGACTTTTCTCCTATGGCTCATGCAGCTAGCCTGGTATTTTCGTTTCCACTAATCCCTATATGCATGAGCTGCACTGGTTCCCCATCAAGGCATGAATGAATTTAAACTCTGTTTATCATCATTAAGTTATTAAATTTTATGAACCAAAGTGTCTTACTGAAACTGACTCAAGAAATCGTAATGACATGACTGCAAATAAACCACGGTATGGACGAGGATTGAATCAATGGTGAGTGAGTTGTTAACTCCAGATTGACATGTTAGCCACTGGGCCAGCTGGCTACAATAAGATTCATCCAACTGGGTATATTCATACACCATAGGAAGGTTAGCATAGGCACCACTGTGACCACAAATGTAAGTTTTTATAGATGAATCTCCCGCCAGTGTGGCCATGGCAAACTCTAGCTCAAGGCCCCTCACAGCTGTCATCATGACTTAAGAAATCGTAATGACACAATTTCTTACTGATAGCTTGTACTTCAGGCTCTGGAATATTTTTGCAAACTGTTGTGGACACTTTTAGACTGACTGAGCCTCATGCTGTTGAGGACAAATCATTCAGAGAGAGAGCCTTTTCTTAAATAGCTCCTACATTGTTCAACATTTTGCCAGTGTCTGTTGAGAATCAAGAATCTGTTCATGCTTTCAAGTCTCATTTGAAAGAGCATCTGTTGTCTAAAGCTTATGATCCTAATAATCATACTGTCACTCTTGAGTATCAGATTGGAGGGAGGGAGTATGGAAGAAGTGAATGTATTCATGTATTTGGGAGTAGACTTGTCAGCAGGTGGGTTTATGAAGGATGAGGTGAACCATAAAATTGATGAAGGAAAAAAGGTGGGTGGTGCATTGAGGTATCTCTGGAGATGACATTATCCATGGAGGCAAAGAAGGGAATGTATGAAAGTAAAGTAGTACCAACACTCTTAAATGGGTGTGAAGCACCGGTTGTAAATGTTACAGCAAAAAGGAGACTGGAGGTAGTGGAGGTGTCATGTCTAAGAGTAATGCGTGGCATAAATATTATGCAGAGAATTCACAGAGTGGAAATTAGGGGGTGTGGAGTTACTAAAAGTATTATTCAGAGGGCTGAGGAAGGGTTGTTGAGATGGTTTGGTCATTTAGAGAGGATGGAGCAATATAGGATGACTTGGAGGGTGTATAAATCTGTAGTGGAAGGAAGGAGTGGTAGGGGTCATCCTAAGAAAGAATGGAGAGAGGGGGTAGAAGAGGTTTTATGTGCAAGGGGCTTGAACATCCAGAAGGCAAGTGTGAGTGTGCCAGATAGGAGTGAGTGGAAATGAATGGTTTTTGGGACTTGAGGAGCTGTTGAAGTGTGAGCAGGGTAATATTTTGTGAGGGGGATTCAGGGAAACTGGTGAGCCAGATCTGAGTCCTAGAGGTGAGAAGTACAATGCCTGCACTTTAAAGGAGGGGTTTGGGATATTTGCTGCTTATTGTGACACCTGAACTGTTGTATCAGTGTGCATCTACAAAGACAGTGATAATGTGTGAATGATGGTGAAAGTGTTTCTTTCTTTTTTAGGTCACCCTGCCTCGGTGGGAGATGACCAGCGTGTTGAAAAAAAAAAAAATTCCACTTCATCACTGTTGTTGAATTTATGGTTTGGTGTGCAAACATGTGTGAATATCTTGAAGGACAAGGTGCTCAAGAATAGCAAAATCCTAAATTATTATTATTAACACTATCCAGAGGTACTGCGAATAAAAATTTCCAAATACAAAATTGACTTGTGGCAATGGTGGGCGAGCACATGGTAGTAGTGGTTAGGGGCGTGTATTGGTATCATTGGGTGTCAGTCAATATTGATGGTATCAATATTGGCCTAAAATTGTGTACATTGTTTGTACTGGTGAGCACTTGCAAACTCTGATGGCATAAGTATCATTATAAACCAGATAATTTTGATGGTATTGGTAGTGTATGAACACTTCAAAAGATAGAGGAGCTAGACAAATGTGTTGGCATAAATTTAGGTTCCACCTTTTTTCTACTAGAATTGGCATGCTACAAAAATGTCAGTCTTGTTAAGTTTGAAATCATTCCTTGTTTCCAATTTTTTTTCTTTTGTGATTCATATCACTGAATGAATACTTAAAGAAGTCACATATCTATTGCTATTACTACTACATTATGGTGACAGAAAAAACATGACCTGTGTACATGCATGACTATGCTGGTGATGAATGTATGGTCATGCTCTTCTCCATCTCTGATGCCACTGCTCCCCACCAAGATACTGTGCAAATTCTTCAGGCTCCACAAACAGAAACAGTATGCAAGATATTTATTCCATTATAGCCTTAGACTTGGCATTATTATGGAGAGTTTACAATACACTTGCCAGGAGAACCTAAAACACTTAGTATTTTAAACTCAGAGGCCCTCTCCCAGAATTTGTCCAATTGTGTTACAATAAACTGCTAAGTATCCACCTCACCAAGTTGAAATATAAATGCAGGAGAACATGAGGTTTGTCTTCATCTTCACCAAAAAGCCGCTGGACAGCAACCTTCAAGTCTTCCTGAGCATCTGAGCCATTGCAGATCATATGAACACAGTCTGTAAAATAAGGGATTTTAATTAAAGTACTGAAGGAAAAAAAAGTTAGCAAAATATTTACTACTCCACTGCTTAAAAAAAATATATAAACAAAGATACGAAGTCATAGCTAAACACAACTTCCTTAACCCATGTCAGTTTAGTTTCAGGTCAAGTCAAAGCACCAATGATGCAATAATAAAAATGCTTGACTCAATCTGTTCTTTTATCGACCATAAAAAAATCCTTCGATACAGTTGACCACAACATCATACTGCTCAAATTAGAACATTATTGAATCAGAGGACATGCTGTCTCCTGAATGAGAGACATCAACAAGTAAGCATTAACCCTTTAACTGTTTCCTACATTATTGATGCCATTGTCACTCACATACATCTATGTTTTAAGCACAGCACCCCCAAATATACTGTGAGTTGTAAATTTTAGCCTAGATATGATAGAATGGGTCTGTGTGGTGCGTATGCACAATAAAAAAAATAATACTGCCTGATAAGGTGAATGATAGAAAAAGCAACCCTCTTGAAGAGAGCAACTTTTTGACCTATTTGTTCAAAAATACTCTGATTTCAATGAAACTTTTACTGTAAGTTATGAAGCTCTAAAAATATCTGTACTGGAAGTTTCATGAAGTCTGCCTAAAATAAAGAGAGAAAAAATAATTCTGTTTTTAATATGGCATCACTCTAATATCATATTTGCAATATTGGTAAGATGTAAATGTTATGGTTGACTTTACGTGAAAACTAAAAGGCTAAAAAACAATCAACCAAATGGATATGACCAAAATGTCAATATCTTGTACAGTTGGATCCCCGTATTTGCAGGTCTGGTATTTGCGGTTTAACCCTTAAACTGTCCAAACAGATCTATGTTCACATGTGTAGTGCTCCAAAAGTAAATCTATATTTTTTTACATATTTTCAAATACACCTACCATCTGACTTACGACCGAGTTCGGTTCCGAGAAACCAGTCGTAAGTCGAAATGGTCGTAAGTCGAACTTTACTAATGAATATCAACAAAACATTTTCGTAATGACTTTATTTTATTGTTTTATTTTGGTATTTCATGTTTTACTTTACTTTTTATGTTGTTAGTACTGTATTTTATACTGTAAGGTTTAGGATAAACACTGTGTACAACACAAATAGTTGTTTATTTCCCAGAAATTTGGCATAAAAAACATGGTCGTAAGTCGAGTGGTCGTAAGTCGAGTGGTCGTAAGTCGAGTGGTCCTAAGTCGAGCAGGTCGTAAGTCGGATGGTAGGTGTATAACAAAAAAAAAAAAAAAAAAAAAAAAAAAAAAAAAAAAAAAAAAAAAAAAAAACAGATCAAAGTTTTTTTACACGTTTTCAAATGTAAAAAAACAAAAAGAAGACCTACATTTTTTTACATACTTTCAAATGTTGAAAAAACGTAGATCTATGTTTGGACAGTTTAAGGGTTAAGTTATCCACAGTTTACCATGGCCCAAAAATAACCCTTAATTTTGCTTAATAATGCTCAAAGTGCAAAAGTAAAGATGGTGGAAGTTGTTCAAAGCCTAAGAGAAGCCGTGAAGTGCTTCTTGTCAATGAAAAAGTGATAATTCTCCACTTATTGTGTGTAATTTATCAATTAAACTTTACAATAGGTACGTAGAAGATTTATATACAGAGTTCGCTACTATCTGCAGTTTCGGTATTCACAGCAAGTAGTCCTTGGAACTTATTCCCTGTGGATACAGGGGTCCTACCATATATTAAAAAAAAATGTTGATTTTTTTTAAGAAAATTTTTGGGAAAAAATAATAAAAAATGGTAAAGCGTATTACAAACAGAAATTGGTAAATTGTAAAAACCATGATTGGTCAGTACTGTTCTGCAAAAATAATGACATATTCAAAAATAACTGAAAAGATGATACTAGAAGGAGAATAACTTACTTTTGACATAAATATTTTATTACAGTAGAACCTCTACTTACGAGTTTAATCCGTTACATGATCTTGCTCGCATCTGAATTTGCTTGTTTGCAGAGTCAATTTTCCTCATTTAAATTAACTGAAATGGAATTATAATTCGTTCCAGTGGAATTCCAGGCACGAGGAAATATTTCAATAATTTCCCTAATATCAACTCTACGGGTTATTTATCTTTCACAATTCATGTAAAATGACATAATAAACAATATTAATAACAAAGAAACATAATACATACACTAGAATGAATAAAATACATAGCCATTACGTATGTGGCTAGTGGTGGTGACAGTGGCCATTGTTGTTGTTGGGGTTTATAGGGCCACCACAGCAGCTATTCCTGCTCCTGACTACATGTGTTGAGAACCTAGGATATTCCAAAAAAGTCACAAAGAGTGACTAAAAATGCTACACTCTTAATGCTACACTTTGCCACTGCTGCTCCATGTTGTCTGCCACTGCTACCTCATGATGTCTGCTCCCACTTTTGCTAGCATGCTGAAGAGCTTTCCAATATGTGAAGGTTAAGGGGCAGTGCCAATCACCAAAGAATCCAACATTTCTGCTACTTTGAGCTCAATTTCAAGGTACTTTTCATCGTGAAACCAATCAAAATCATATCTATTTTGTAGTATATCTTCCATTCTATCAAATGAGACCAAAAAAACGAGAATACAACCATAAAAGCCATACGAAAATATACCGCTAATGGGAGGCTAATGGCTAAGAAGTGAACTCCGTTATTCATGGTCTGATTTCTTTCATTTTTGGTGATGCTAAGAAGCATCTTTCCATCATACATTGCTCAAGTTTCAATAAGATAGTCCAACAAACAACTGAGATCCAATTCCCTAGATCAAGAGCAAGAGCCCCTCATCAAGAGGCCCACTCGCATCTGGAAATTTCGCTCGCGTCTGGAAGCAAAAAACTGACCGAGCGACTGCTCATATCTGGAAAAACTCTCACATGGATGCACTCTTAAGTAGAGGTTCCACTGTATATATAAAATCTACAGGCATGAAACTTCATGATTCACAAGACCAGAGCAGCTGTTTGGACTGTATATTAGCCTCAGCAAAGATGCAGTATAATGTATTTTCTAACAATTGACACAAAACTAACAATATTTGAAAAAAACAAAATAAATAAATAAATAAATAAATATATTATATATATATATATATATATATATATATATATATATATATATATATATATATATATATATATATATATATATATATTATATATATATATATATATATATATATTTTTTTTTTTTTTCAACAAGTTGGTCGTCTCCCACCGAGGCAGGGTGACCCAAAAAAGAAAGAAAATCCCCAAAAAGAAAATACTTTCATCATCATTCAACACTTTCACCACACTCACACATTATCACTGCTTTTGCAGAGCTGTTCAGAATACAACAGTTTAGAAGCATATATGTATAAAGATACACAACATATCCCTCCAAACTGCTAATATCCCAAACCCCTCCTTTAAAGTGCAGGCATTGTACTTCCCATTTCCAGGACTCAAGTCCGACTATAAGAAAATAACCGGTTTCCCTGAATCCCTTCACTAAATATTACCCTGCTCACACTCCAACAGATCGTCAGGTCCCAAGTATCATTCGTCTCCATTCACTCCTATCTAACACGCTCATGCACGCTTGCTGGAAATCCAAGCCCCTTGCCCACAAAACCTCCTTTACCCCCTCTTTCCAACCCTTTCGAGGACGACCCCTACCCCTCTTTCCTTCCCCTATAGATTTATATGCTTTCCATGTCATTCTACTTTGATCCATTCTCTCTAAATGACCAAACCACCTCAACAACCCCTCTTCTGCCCTCTGACTAATGCTTTTATTAACTCCACACCTTCTCCTAATTTCCACACTCCGAATTTTCTGCATAATATTTACACCACACATTGCCCTTAGACAGGACATCTCCACTGCCTCCAACCGTCTCCTCGCTGCTGCATTTACCACCCAAGCTTCACATCCATATAAGAGTGTTGGTACTACTATACTTTCATACATTCCCTTCTTTGCCTCCATAGATAACGTTTTTTGACTCCACATATACCTCAACGCACCACTCACCTTTTTTCCCTCATCAATTCTATGATTAACCTCATCCTTCATAAATCCATCCGCCGACACGTCAACTCCCAAGTACAGCAGGGCCCCGCTTTACGGCGGTTCGCTTTACGGAGTTCCGCTAATACGGACATTTCAAATTATGACCAAAACTCGCTATACGGCTCCCCCCACCTGTCTTTCTAATACGGTCACAGCTGCCCACCGAGTTTGTTTACATTCTCCCTGAGCACATCTCCTTATTATGTCCGGAAACTTTCCAATATTTCAAGTGTTTTAAAGTTATTGTATATTTTATATGTATTGTACTTGATAATTAAACTTGTGTACACCTGTACCTAAATAAACTTACACACTGTGCTGGCATGTAGGTACACATTAAAATCACTAAGTCTCTCTACTCTTGATGCAATAATAATAATAATAATAATAATAATAATAATAATAATAATAATAATAATAATAATAATCTCTTGGGCGCATTAATGTCGCATATTATGTTAATATAGACATTTCCCTTAATCTATCTATGATATTTTTTTCAAAATTATATAAGAAACACATTATGTAACACACAAACATGATACATGCACCCACAGTATAAAAATTTATACAAATATATATGAGATGTTTACCAAACGGTTTGTAGAAGTGTCGGAAGAATTACGTTTTCTCTAGCCCGTCACCTGTTACTAGGGATAACTAGAAAAAATATTCCTTTCGTATGCCTTCACTTTATAGCTATAATTCTGTACTAACTTGTACACAGTGTAAGAGTATTTGTTTCGTGATTTAATTATTATAATAATAATAAAAATATCATAAGGTAAAAGTTTCACAAACTCTTACAAATGTACATGAATGAACTAAAACTGGAGACGTATTAATACCGTCTATTTCGCCTGACCGAGTGATCGTCCACAACCTGTTCAG